TCCCATGAGGGGTCGTACACAGTGCATCTTCCCCCAGCGTTGAAAATGCAGCAACATTTGTGTGTAGTTTCTGTCCAGGAAACCCGTCAGAGACTCAGCTTCCAAGGTTTTTATTGGTGATTAGTCACATAGGCACCCTCTGCCTAGAATACACCAAAATTCCAGACTCCTGAAGGATAGTAGGTGTCTTAATCTATTTCGGCTGCTATAACAAAATAATACAAACTAGGGTGGCTTATAAACAACAGAAATTTATTTCTAATCCTTCTGAAATGTGGGAAGTCCAAGACCAGGGAACTGGCAGATCTGATGTCTGGTGAAGGCCCACTTTCTGGTTCATACATGGCTACCTTTTCACTGTAACCTCACAAGGAAGAAGGTGCAAGGGGTCTCTCTCAGGCCCCTTTTGTTAGGGCACTGATACCATTCATGAGGGCTCTGTAGTATTTCAAATTGGTAATGTTGGAGGAACACAAGCATTCAGATTATAGCAGTAGGCGTTCAGCATAAACTATATTGTTTGTACAAACAGTGTAGGTACAGCAAGTCACCCTTATTGTTTAGGGAAAATACTCTGTCAGTGTATGGAACTCTTTATCAGCCAAGTTCCCAGAAGCCAGATATGGGCCAGGCTTGTAAGCAGATCTTTCTAAGGCCCGCAGTCTCAGGACTTTGCTGTTAACTCTTGTCTGCACAGAAACCTAAAGGTAGATTACAAAAATAGTGTCGCCAGTCTTTTTACTTTCCCAAAAGATAATCAATAGTTTGGCCAGTACAATAATAAAGGATAATGATTTATTTCACTATTATGTTATCTTCCTAGGTGATTCCATCAATCTCCAATTTTCTTACTATTTTAGTCTTTCATTTTATAGTATAATTGGTTGTAGTTAATGAGTAATGATAAAATAATATGTAGGTTGATGAAATGGCATAAAATAACTAAGATCCCATAATGTATCTTAGGTTTATTTATAAGAGTCCAATAGATCCATATGGTAATTATAAAATGAAATGAATTTTATTCTACTAAACAAAAATTAGATTTTTTTCTTTGAAAAACCTGTAAAAAAGAGTAAAAGTCATGAAATTGCAATCTTTACCAAATAGTCATAATTGCTTATATAATAAACTCAAATACTAAAATTTGGTCCTTTGGATCCTCATGGTATACCAAAGTAAACCAAATGCTGCTATTCTCCTTACCAGTACTTAGTATTGTAGAGAGCAGTCAGCACTATTAACTATTCAGCTTAGCAACAAGAGGAGGCATAAATATAATCTAGGATATTCATTTTGATATACTAATGACCACTAATGAGTAGCAGTAATCAAGTAAACATTTAAGATGAGAGTAGGCATTATTAAAGATATAATAACTTGCTGAAAGTATAGCAATTTGGAAGTCACTTCATTTTCAGAAATAACACATGTACTTTCTTCTTTTCTGTTTCTTTTGCTTAGCATTGAAAGTGTTTTTTTTTTTTTTTAATGTTCTTGTTGCTTCTCAAATCACAAGCAGGAATAATGTAAGGAGAAAAAAATTTCAAGTATAGCTGTTTTTGAAGAGAGGAAAATAACTGATTTTTTAAAAAATCCCAGTACATTTTAATCTATATGTTATAGTTTGCTGATTTTTTTTGGTTAAAAATCCTATTCTACACATGGTACAACCCTATTTCTGAATATTTATGTACCTATATAAGATAAAAAAAGTTTACCTTGCATTGTGTTGTGTATTATTGACTTCATGAGAAAGTGTGAAGGTTAGTATTGACTTCTTAAATATTGTAGTTAAAAGTAGGCTTTTGCTGGGGGAAATTGCCTCCAGAAATTAATAGCATTTGTGAACATTTATACCCCCAGATTTTGAAGTATTTTGAAAGTATCAAGTAGTATATCATTTAAACGTGAACTTTTTATTAATAAAAAGCACATCGAACATGACATTGTTGGGTGACATTACATGATGAGGTAGGAGGTATTCATAGGTGTGTACAGCAGTAGCTTACTGAGAGTGACATGCCAGCCAGTAAACCAGCTGTTTGCCTCCCTATAGTGGCTTGATTAAAAAAAAAAACTTTATTAGAAAACAAAACAGAAAATAATGAGTTTGGCCTCACGGACCTTAGCCTTCTTTCCAATCTTGGCTTTGACAATTACTTACGCTTACTGAGCTCTCTGCATAATATGGGAATACAAAGAAAGATTTATGGCCTCTTCCTTGAAGAAGTTTGTAATCTAATCAGAAATACCTAACAAAGGTAGCCTTTAGGATTCTACAGCATCATTCAGTAATTTTTTCAGTGATTTTAAAAGTAACTCCAGCTCAGTGATTTGCTATTTTTTCATGCAGCAGTCACATTGAACTTACCTTTGTGATGAGAGGGACAGCAGAGATCTAAATGGCAGTGAATGCTCACTTACCTTCTGGGCTCTCCCTCAGAGACTCCTTGCCCTTTCTGTACTAGGCTGTAAGGTATATGAGTCCTAGACAGTATCTATTTTTCCCACCGTTATATCCCGCATGCCTTGCACTGTATCTCTATGTAGATCCTCCATAAATATTTGTTAAATCTCTATATTTAGGTTTATCGTGGCCTTTGTGTCCTTGTGTCCCCTTAGCATGCTTGTCTTCATGTCCCATTGTATTCAGGTTCTTATCCCTAAGTGAATGCCTTCCTTATTCTGGTAAAGAGGAGCTTTATTTTGCTTCATTATGACATTGCTGTGGTTGATACTTGGATATAGAAGACTTATCTTTTCAATAGAATCATGCGTATTGTATATAAATTTTAAACTCACCTGAACTTCTCTGTGGTGTTCATCATCACTGATAACTGCCTCCGTTGAAACCTCTGTACTTCGTTTTTAGCAACAGTGTACTGTCTCTGAGCTCCTCTTAACCTCTCTGGTTATTTAAAAAGTTTTTATTTTAACAGAGATAATTTGATATGAAGAAGTATTAACTAGGTGTAAATTTGCTAACTGATTTATTTTGCTCTGAAAACAAACAAAAAAGTGACTTTTAAGTGTCAGAGAGGTAGCAAGTGCAGATACCACCCTAAAGCTGTGGTTGGGGGGAGCAAAGGTAAGAGATTGGAATCACTAAAATTTGCATTCTTGGAGGAGGCGCTGAGTGAAGCTGAAATTTAGACCTTTGAAGAGGTTTTGCTCATCTGATGCAGATGTCTCTGAACTCTGAGGAAGAACCTTGTGGGGCTGGGACCAGGCCTCTGGGGTTGGCTGGTGCTGGTGTCTCTGAGGATGTGATGAGGCTTGTTCTGCTAGAGCTGGAAAAACTGGATTTGTTGCTGCCGTGGGAAAGAACTGCTGCTGCCAGGGTGAAGGAGTCTTGCTGGGGTGATGCTCACAGGAACAGGAAGCCAACAGGAGAAAGTCCCTTCTTCCTCCATCCTTGCAGTCAGCCTCTGGCTCCTGCTCTTGGCACAGCCTGCCAGGGAGCCACCTGGTAAAACAGAAATGTGGTTTCCAGGGTCTCGGCCACAGCATCAGAAAGCAAAGCATAGAAGGCTTAGTTAATAACTAGATCAGAGCAAAGGAACCCAGGTACTAGGTATTTATAGTATTAAATTACATGATTTTACAACAGTTTATATACTGACATCAATATTAAATAAAAGCAAGTTTTCATAGTAACCAAAAATAGAGGAGACAAGGGAGAAACCATCCATGAGAAAATTAAGGACAACTCAGTAAATTTAGAACTGTATACAAATCACAGAAATGGAGAAATGACACAGATACAAGCCTTCTGCTAAGTCAATACAATTTTAGATTGTAAAATTAGATTTAAAATTTAAAAAATTTTTATTAATAGAGCAGCTTTAGGTTTATAAAAAAAATTGAAAGTGTAGAGAGTTCCCATATATATCCTCCCTCTCTGCAGAGTTGGCCTTATCATTAACATTTTGCATTAGTGTGGCACGTTTGTTCTAATTGATGAACCAATGTTGATAGGCTTTTGTTAATCAGTTGGATGGTTTACGTTAGGGTTCACGCTTCGTCTTGTACATTCTGTGCATTTGGAGCTCCCTTTAACCTCTCTGGTCATTTTTTTATGATCTTATATGATAATTTTTATCTTTCACTGTTTGAATGTAGGCATTCCCCAGGGATATTTCCTTAGCCGTCTTCTTCTATTACGTATATTATCTCCCTCGGTATAACCTCATTCATGTTCATGTATGTAGCTTTCCTAGTTTCTTTTTTTCTTTCTTTCTTTCTTTCTTTTTTTTTTTTTTTTTTAGACAGGGTCTTGCTCTGTCTCCCGGGCTGTAGTGCAGTGGTGCAATCATAGCTCACTGCAGCCTCCAACTCCTGGGCTCAACCGATCCTCTCACCTCAGCCTCTTGAGTAGCTGGGTGCATGCCAGGTGTGAGCATGCCAACACACCTGGCTAATTTTTCTTACTTTTTGTAGAGATAGGGTCTCTATGTTGCCCAGACTGTTTTTCTAATTTCTTTATCAGTAAAGTAAGAGATCAAATTAGAAGCATCTGAGTTTTTTTATGACCCCCAAATTCAGTGATTGACTGTGTCACATTTGAACTCATTTCATCACAGGTTTCCCCCAAACTCATCCCCTCTTTTCTCTGAGCTTCCTATGTATTTTAAAGCTATCAGTGATCCTCTTCATTGCCCAGACTCAAAATCTCGATATAACATTTGGCTCTATTGTCTGTCACATTCCTCTAACCATTTCCTCTGCCACATTGCAAGTCTTTGTTCCCTCTCTCATTGCTTCCACGCAGCAAGGGCTCCTGATTCCTGAAGTCCTGTGACTTTTGGAGAGAAGGCTAAGTGGAGCTGTGCCGGAAATGTGAGTAGCAATCTAGCTGCTTATAACTGTTGGCAGAAAAGAAACTGAGGACATAATTCAGAGAGGCTTGTCCATTAGCACAAAAAGAATAATTGCTTATTTCTTCTTTCTTGTTGTGCTGTCATATTAAATGTTTTCTAAATGTCTATCTTTTTCAGCATAATGGGAGTTTTGAGTAACAAGTGTGGCTTTCAACTCCAGTATCAAATGATTTTTTCAATATGGCTCCTGGCATTCAGTCCTCAAATGTGTGAACATCTGCGGCGCTATAATATCATTCCTGTTCTGTCTGATATCCTTCAAGAATCTGTCAAAGAGAAAGTAACAAGAATCATTCTTGCAGCATTTCATGTAAGTGTTTTGTGTTGAGGGGGTGTATGTGTGTATCTGTGTCTGTGAGACATTTTTCACTGTGCAGTACACTTGAGTTTTTAGCAGGTGGGAAAAAGTTACTTATTTTCTATGTGGTTGTAAAACTGTAGAGTCTTAGTGAACATGGAGTAAATATCACTAATTTGTATTTATAGGGGCAGTGGGACGGGTGGGAGGAAACCCTGTAAGTGAAGGAAATGTGTGAGTTATAGAATGCTCGTAGGGAAATGCAGTTGCATTACGTTCAGATAGAGGAAGTCTCTTTTTGCTGCCGTGCATTCCAAGAGACTCTTATTGAGGGAGTTTTCTCTTACAGAGTTCACATTTTAATATGGAGTCTTGTTTCAGATTCTGGATCTATTGACTAGCAGTTTGTTTCTGAGGCAACTTTTTAAACAGTTAAATTATCCTATTAGGATATTGGAGTTTTGTTCGTTATCTAAGTCGGTTTCCTCCTTTGAACAGATGGGGAAGTTGAGGACAAAATAGGACCTGAGCTAGAATCTGAATCCTAAGTTGCCAGGCAGTTATAAGACAGAAATCAAGTATTGTTAATTGGTTACCCAGAGCCAACGTGTTTGCTGTCACAATTGTCTATTGATAATTTTGTTGGTTGCTTTAGGATTTAGATGGGCTTCTCGGGCGTGGCTTGATTGAAGTAATATCTATTAACAATGCTACCCAAGAGTAATATGGTGGGCATGTCTCATATGGTGCTTATTCTGTGCCATGCCTTGTTCTGAGGGCTTTCCATTTAACTCATTGAATGCTCACCAGAGCCCTATAACGTAGCAATTGTTATTATTGTTAGTATCTAGGTGTCGTTGATGTTAGTCTTGGTCTGTACCTTACAAATGGGGATACTGAGGTAGAAAGGTCACATTGCTGGTAGACAGAAGACATGCAAATCCAGGTTGTTGGCTTCAGAATTTGTACTTTTAACCATTACTTGTTCTCATGCTTTCTTTAAATGAATAACAAGTCAAAAATAGAAAGAAGTACAGATGTATTGCAAAAATTTAAATAGACATCACATTTGCCAGATAAATTCACTAACATCTTTCAGATGTTTCCAAGCACATAGAGATAAATATATAAATAAGTGTATGATTTTTTGTATTTAAAAACAAAAATGGCATCACATTATAAATACTGTTCTATAACATTTTAACAACATATAATGAATATGTTTTCATTTTTGTATACATAGGTGTTCAGTATTCTTTTTTTTTTTTTTAAGAAGCAAAAATGTTGTATTTACTATTTATACCTACTAACGATTCAATCTCTCCATCTCTTCTTGGAGAGCCTGTACTTTTAGGCAAATGGGGGAGCTAAAAATACAAAAGAACAACATCTATGCACAAATGTGTGTCCTGTCTTCCTTACTAACTTCCTGGAAAATTGCTGCTTCTGAACATTTGATTTTCCTGAGAAGGAGAAATTTTGTGTAACTGTTGTACACTGTATGAAGGAAGGGATTTGTCTTTTTAGACTTCATCTCATTGTATAGGTTTCACTCTCTAGGTTTTGAGAGTGAGAAGCGGGGAGACCAACAAACCATAAAGTACATTGTGTCAGCAACATGATAACTCCTCTAATACCATCCATGCTGACTAAGTAATTTCTGGTGGAGTTGAATACATCATAAAATTTCTATTTGTGTTCTGCCTGAGGGTTTTCCCTAACCACTAATTGAGAGTGAAGGTCTAGAGAACTTTTGAGAAAGGGGCAGAACACAAGCAATGTCCTGGTCTGTAGCCAGGTGTCAGTGCACTGTATGATAGAGGAAGAGGATTACAGGGAGATTTTTGTTTCAGCCTTTAGTCTAACCAAGATTTAAAAGACTTACAGAAAACAGCTTCATGGGGTTGGGGGACAGAAGTGTAGAGAACAGAAGATAGGACAGGGGGAGTAGTAAACACATCCAGTAGAATTCAGGGGTAAAAAATACCCACACAAGTTCATGGAGTATAAAGGAACAAGAAGGAATACTTCCTGCGCCATATACAGATCAGGGGATAGGGTGAGTGGGGCACAGTGGATTAGCCACGAAATGGCTTCTGTGATAATTCTGAAACCTGTTCCAGTTTAATTTTGGAATAAATTCTTCTGGGCAGGTCAAAGATTGTGCTTTAAAAATGTCATTAGAAGGTTACAGCTTTTAAAATATTCTTTTGCCTCCTGCTTCCAGGTGATTTCCTTTTGGTTAAAAACCAGAAATAGTATAAACCTCACAAGATGAAAGAACAGTCTTTCGATACAGGTGAGGTGAGCATCTAGATGAACTTACACAGTAAGTGAGAGAGTCTATACTTCTTGGTCTTCTCCCTTGACCACTCCAAGTCTCTGACCTACCAGAGATGGCAGTTTATTTCCTGTGGAAGAAGCCAGTAATAGACACTTGTCTGTTGCCTTTGCCCAGAGCAGCAATCCCTTTCTTGGGGCCCTTTCGTTCCTCTTTGGGTTCTTTTTTCACAGGCATGGCTGAGGGTCTGTGTACAGAGCATGTCTTGATCTTAAGCTCCTCTTCAACTATCTGTGCAGGACTCACTCTCGTAGAATTTTTCAGTCACCACAGAGCCATCTGTATCCACAAAAGTTTTAGATTTCAGTACATGTTTTCGTTTTCTTTTGTTTTCTCCACTTGAGCTCTTGATGGAAGGAGGTTCGGAATCAGTCTTTGGCACTGGTTCAAGAGGTGGAGACACAGGAGGAGGGAGGGAGGGTGACTCAGCTTCAGAAGCCCCAGGAGAGTCTGGGAAGACTTCATCTTCACTGCCGTCAGACTCAGGAAGTTTGATTCTTCTCCTTTTTTCTTCATATTTTCAGTTTCCTTTGTCTCATCATCTCTCTTCCCCTTTTCTTTTTTTCCTTCTGCTGCATCTTAACAGGCTCTGCTTTTTTGCTGGATTTCTTCAGGCCTGCAGGAGCTGCCAGCTTTGGTTCGGTGACAGACTCTGGAGGTTGCTCCACTATTTTTTCTTCTTTCACTGCTTGTTCTGAATCCAAATTGACTTTAAGTTTATTCATAGCAGCTTTTCCAAAAAAGTTGCTCCCCACATTCCCTTTCCCTGGTGCCTTGCTGCCTGCCAAAGATGGATTTGTTCCTTCTTTAGCCTCTGTTTTAGTTTCTTTGTTGGTTTCTTGGGTTTTAGTAGCAGCTTTAGAGGCAAACATTCCCATAATCCCTTTGGGCTGCTGGGAAGTCTGTTTGGAGGCAGGTGGGCCATGACCATTGATTGTGAGCTCATTGTTGGCTTGTATCTCACTTGACACCGGAAGGTGTGACTGCTCAAACTTTTTGGAAGATGAGGATTCAGCAGGAGCTCTAGGGACTGCAGCTGCACATTGTATGGCACTAAACTTGCTACAGTTCTGCAAGTTGCTTTTAAGGATGTCATAGTCAGTATTGAACAGAGGCCCACTGTCCTTTAGCATGGCTTTCTGGATGCTGTACACATGGATGCTGGCAGCCACAGCTAGCTTGGACTTCACTGCTTCCAATTTATCTTCTCTCACTGCTGCGACCTTGTGGCAGGAATGTCCATTCTGAATGAGACTGCCGGATACCAAATAGGTGACGTGCAGTTGGGCTCCTGAATTTTCCTTTCGCTTCCTTTCAACATAATCATACAGCATCTGTTTGGCCTGGTTTACATGAACCCCTAGCGTATAGCTCAGCCATTTGTATGTCACGATCTTGTTTTGGTCCGTGACGAACTCGTCTATATTTTCCAAATAAAGCTGGTCTGCCATGGTGCTGCAGCGCCGGGACCCGCCGCCTCTGAGCCCCTCCCTCAGCCACAGCCGCAGCTCCTGCCCCGGTGTTCTTTTTAATGGCAATGTTCCACTGTTGGTATAAAGCGCTTTATTTAATCAGTGCCCTATTAATGGGCATGCGGGGTGTTTCCAGTTTCTTTTACATAGGTTTGCCCACTTTGATGAATATTTCTTTTGGATATACTTCTAGAGAGTTGAAGGAATATGCTTTTTATGCTTTTGATAGATAATGTCAAATTACCTTTCAAAAATGTGCAAATTTACATTTCTGTCAACTGTGTATTGGGAGTACGTATTTTTCTCCTCTCTCACTAGCATTTCATATTATTTTTTAATTTTTATTTTATTTTATTTCTTTAAAAGACAAAATAGGTGGTTTATTTTGTGATCATTATAAATATATTAATTTTGAATAACAGACTTCGATGATCTATTAATTTTTACGAAACCTTAGGCGAGAAATAAAATTATTGTTTTATTTTTTAATTAAAATGTATTTTATTTTATTTATTTGTTTATTTTGAGACAGTCTCACACTGTCACTCCAGCTAGAGTGCAGTAGCATCATCATAGCTCACAGCAGCCTCAAACTCCTGGGCTCAAGCCATCCTCCTGCCTCAGCCTTCCTAGTAGCTGGGACTACAGGCACGTGCCACCATTCCCGGCTAATTTTTTCTGTTTTTTAGTAGAGGTGGGTCTCACTCTTGCTCAGGCGGGTTTCCAACTAGGGCTCAAGCGATCCTTCTGCCTCGGCTTCTCAGAGTGCTGGGATTACAGGTGTGAGCCACTGCGCCCGGCCAAAATCATTGTTTTAAATTTGCATGCTGTTGATGAATGAGGCTGAGCATCTTTTAATGTTTTTATTGGTCATTTATATTCTCTCTATAAATTGCTTATTCATAGCATTTGTCACCTTTTAAATTTTAAAATTTGATGTGTGGGAACTCTTTTCTAGATGTCTGTAGTTAATAATAACAACTAATGTTTATTGAGAGCTTATTCTGTGTCAGGCACACTTCTAATTATTTTAAATGTATTACACATTTAATCATCCTAGGAATGCCATGCAATGGCCATCAGGCCACGAGAGGTTAAATAATTTACCAGAATAGCTAGGAATTGGTAGAGCAGTGATTTAAACTCAGACAGTGTGACTCACTTTTAACCAGTATGCTAACCAGTTGTTGATGCTGAAAATAATAATTGTTATAATTTATTGCGTGATTTTCATGTATTGCCTTATTTAATCTTCATAATTACCCAGTAGGTTCTATTACTATTTATATTTTCTAGATGCAGAAGCCAAGACTTGGAGATTAATCCTCAGTAAGTGATAGGATTGGAATTTCAGTGAGATCTGTCAGGCTCCAAAGCTGTTGCTTAACTACTCTGCCATCTCATTTTTTTCTTGTCTCGGTGTATCAATATTTTCTCAGGAACCTTAAGACTGGCATTAAAAGGGGAATGTCAACGGAAAAAAAGACCAGACTCTGTAAAGTAATTTTAAAGAGATTTACTCTGAGCCAAATTTGAGGACCATGACCCAGAGCCACGCCCAAGAGGCCTTGAGCAAGTGGACTCGCAGAGGTTGGGTTACAGTTTGGTTTTATACATTTTAGGGAGACGGGGTTACAGGTGAAGTCATAAATCAATACGTAGGAGGCATACATTGGTTTGGCCCGAAAAGGTGGGCCATTTCGAAGCGGGGGCTTACAGGTTATAGGTGGGTTAAAAGATTCTTTGGCCTGTAATTGGTTAAGACATGAAGCTTTGTGTAAAGGCTTGGAATGTTTCAACATAAGGAGCTCTTTATCAGAGATAAGCCACTGGACATAGATTTGTTGTGTAAATAGAGGACCTGCAGGTTTGTCTTGCATAGCCTTAGGCCTGTTAGTGGGTTATAAAGGATGTCATCAAGAAGGGAGGGGGGCATGATAAGGCGTGTCTGACCTCCTTCCTCCTGGCAGGCAATTTAGTTTTAGGGTATTCCTTTGGCCATGAGGGGGTCCGTTTAGTCAGCCAGTGGGGGGGTGAGCCTTAAAATTTTATTTTAGTTCACAATTCCCCCCTTTTGGCCAAGATCTGTCAGAGGCAGCATCTATGGCCAAACTCTTATTTTGTCCCATCCGTTGCCAGGGTGGTGTGGCTACCTGCCCTGGGTCCATCCAGTCCCTCGGTGGGACCCTTGTGGCCAAGAGAACTGAAGAGCCAAAAGGAGGCTTACAGCCAATTAAATATTTTAAGCCAAACAGGACCGGAGGTAGACAGCCACTCACTAGCACTTTAAAATCTTTTAAATGACATAAGAATAAAATTTAAAATGTCAAAGGCAAGGCTACAAAACTAATTCACCTATAAGTGTTGAGCTACTATATTCTTGGGCTTAGTGGTAGTCTTGTAGCAAATATAAGCATCATTAATATTTAAGCTAAGGGAACTTAGAGGCTTTCATTTTGTCATAATATTTTAGTCTTTTTAGTAATTTATACTAAGGTGGCTGAGAAATTACTCATTATATCTCCTTTTGTATAAATCTATAACTGAGAAAAATTATACTCAGGAAGTTGTAAGTCTATAGGAAATAGGAAAAAAATTAAGAATGAGAAGGAATTTTGCAACAAGGGAGCCGAAAAAAAAAAACAATTCAAGTAGTATTCCTTCAGGCTTCTGGGCGCCCCTCCTTGATCTGGAGGGTCTAAACTAACTCCATCCCTCGGAATCGGCCCTTAAAATCTCACACGCCCCCTCTTCCACGATAGTCCCTGGGCCTAGAGGGAGGATATTTGAACAGGGCTTTGGCAGTCTAAGGTTCCAGGTCTCAGAGATAAGGTAAACTTGCTGTTTACTTAAAATTTGTCAGGACTCTGGAAAACAAAACAAAATTAGTAATGTTTAAATAAAGAGTCTTTTTGTGAAAATTTAGTTAGGTCTTATGAGGTTGAGTTAGCTATATCCATGGTCACATCAGTTTTTTAATTATAATTAAAGTTGTGGAAGTTTGTTTTGTTTTAGTCCAATGGTATATAATCTCTAAAGACATTAGAAACCAGTATTCAAGTGGATTTGTCAGTCCTTTTTATGACTTTACTTGAAGAAGCCAACTTTGGACTTAGCCAGAAAGAACCACTTTCTGAGGCGAATTAAACTAAAATAATAATTTTTTAAAGACGATAGAACTTGGAATAGCCATGGTTAGAGACAATGGACAAACCAAATTGGTTACTTTTGTGGCATACAAGAATTTACATAATAACCATAATTATTACTTGATAACCCACATCAAGACATGCCAATGCTTTACAATATTGGAACATACATTAATAATATACAAGGATAGCCCAAAGAAAGTTAAATGTCATTTTATATTTGACAATGTTTCTTGTATGGTTTTTGACATACTAAATAAATCTAATGTCTGTTTTAGACTTTTAGTGGTCCTAATATATAAAAAAAACTAAGGTCAAAAGGGTGGATTTAGAATTTAAGTTTTGGAAAGTTTGTCAAATATCAAAGGCTAAAACATTTGTTTATATACAATCACAAACCACTATAAAATAAGGGTAATTTATTTAATCAAGAGACATAGTTATCAAAAGATTCTAAAGGTGATAAAGTTACTTGGGTATAACTCTTAACCCTTTTAAAGTTAGTTTTTCTAGTTATTTAAAACCTAATGAAGAGAGCACAGGGATTATCTGATAAATCATAAAATCTTTGTTGTTTTTTTTTTTAAGTCAGTTATCAAAATTAAAGAAAACCCTTTTGTAGTGCGATATATATTTTAAATTAAAAAGGAAACATGTTATAGAACCAAAATGAGTACATTATATCATTTCATTTAGAGTAAATATTAATAGAAATTTTTGTTTTAGCCAAAAAAACACTTTTTTTTAAGTACAGCCAACTGGACCACATACAAAATTCCTTAATAAATTCACTTTTATAAACTTTATCCCAACCTGCACATACCATCTACAAAACATACTTAAAACTTTCTGTTTTGTCCTAACATTCCCTTCTCTTAAATAACCAGTGATTTTAGGACAAAAAATTCCATGCAAGATCCTTTCTTTACATTATTCTTTCTGTTTAACCTTTCTTACCAAAAACTATATATCTATATTCATTGCCTTTCTATATCTTTCTCTTACTCAAAAGTGGAATTTTGTTTTTATTTTTTTTCTAAATTTATTTTGACTCAACCTTTAAATAACCTTTGAATTAGACAAAGTTACATCTATTTTAATAAGAACACATTTTGTTTTTTTTATAATTCTTATTAAAAACACCTTATTCTTTGGTATACCTTATATATACAATTACATACATTGAGTAGAATTCTTATTTTTGTAACTTTAAATTTTAGTGAAAGCTTAAAAAGCAGGAAGTCATGAATTGTTCATCATAAAACACTTGTCATGAAGCAATATTGCAGGTTACTATAAAATTATAGCCAAACTGATAATTTAAATATATATATTTTTTTAAACCCAAAAATCCTATTCTTTGAGAGAAGAGACTCAGTTTCTCAAACAAGTATAAGCCCTAATAGACAGACTGAAGTACAAGTTAATAAGGAGGCTGAATCTGTGTCTTTCTTTCCCTTCCTTTTTGCAGTTTATTAAAAGGTTAATAAAAATCATTTATTATTCCTATTAATATCATATGACAATCTAGTTCAAAAGAGAAAACCAAATCTCATTGCATTAGTGTATTAATGATAAAGTTAATTTTAATAAACTCTTATAAACAAATCCATCTAATTTTAACTAATTTGACTGTAAGTTAAGACTTTTATAAACCTTTTATAACCTTCAATTTTTATATCCACTTAATTTTTAATGATCATTTGAATGTTGAAGTAGTTT